CTTACATGAATCATACTCTAACAAATATAGAAAAGGAAATCAACTCCTATCTATTTTCCTATCCGCCTCAATTACGATGGAATTCTCACCGACCTCCTTTCCATCGGCATACTTCATATTTCATCGGTAGTAGTTTTCAAGCCTTCCTTCATCGGCATCGACACTAACATCTCCAACCTTATCGGCAACGCCCGAGTCTAAATCAACCTTTCCATCGATCACCACCATTCATCGGCAACCATCTTTACAAGCTGATTTTCATCGATGTCAGCGTATATAGTAACTTTCCTCCTGCCGATTAGCCCACTCTGATCATTTTGACATGTGCAAAAAACGGTGTCAATAAATACAATGTTAGAGATAAAGCTCTTCCTTCAGGACTATGCTGTGTATCACCATAGGTCGTACAACGTCACTCATTCGGACCAGGAGTTGAGGTACCACGTGATATGCAAAAACAATTGTATGTGGAGGTTAAATGCAAAAGAGACAGAGTGATGGTATGTGGAGGATAAGTAAAGTGGTCGAACCCCACACTTGCCTAACAAATAGGGGGAAGGAAAATCATCAGCAGCTCACTGCATGTTACCTTGCCCGTCGTATATTGGGACTCGTTGATGACAATAACGACATTTTGGTGTCTTCATTACAACAGTCTATATCTGGATTCGTTAAGTATGATGTGAAGTATGGAAAGGTTTGGCGTGTTAAGTAAATTGCCCTAGCGATTCGTTGGGGTAGTTGGGAGGAAGCGTACAACAGGGTGCCCCGCATCTTATGTTTAATGCATTAGTACAACCCTAACTTGAAATGGTTTGTGGACACTAGAGGGATGTATTTTCGGGATCCATTGAGGCATGTCCTCTATCGTGTGTATACTGAGCCAGCCATGGGAGAATATAGGAGCGTACAGCTGGGGCAGCGCGGTCCTAGCATGGATCTATCGTCAGCTCTGCATTGCCTACCAATTCAGTACTGGAGGTGCCAACCTAGGAGGTTGTTCCCACCTACTACAGGTTTGGTGTTGGGAGCGGTGGCCAGTCGGGAGGCCCGTTGTTCATGGTTTACCTGTAAGTGCATCGATTTTTTATTTTCCTCAAACTTGATGCCGCACTTGTGACTGACTATCCTATTCAATGTAGGCATGGAATCACGTGGACGTAGGACCGACTGCTCTGTACATCTGGCAAGAAGCGGAGGTAGTTAGAGAGAACCCAAAGCGGCGGTACAGGCAGTACTCGGACACGCTAGACGTCCTGACACAGCACCAGGTAACGACCAGTTTGATACTGCTAGTCGGTGTTGTTGCTTTTTTATTATTCCAAAAACCTAACTGTAGTTACCTAACTTTCAGGTGAATTGGTGTCCTTGGTCCAGATTCGAGCTAGAGGGGTACCTGAGTCCTCACACTGAGGAAGAGTCGGACGAGTGGCTTTTTAACGGGCCACTAATTTTCTTCCATGTGGTCGAGATACACTACCTTATAAGGGTGTATAAGCAGTTCGGAAGATTGCAGCCATGCCCACCGCTGCTGTACATAACCAACAGAAAGTTGCATGGGTGCGACAACTAAAACATAATAATTTAGCAGTCATATGCATACATATAACCACTAATTTACATTAAACTTGTAGGTACGATCGAAGGAACAGGTACAAGGAGAAGAATTGGGCCGTGACGCACGCCACGTTCATCCATGACCGGGACATGGTCCTCGCTACATCTAATCCCTTCATGTATAAAATGCAACCAGTTAGCAACGCGATTATATTACAATTAAAATCAGGCAACGAAAATAAAAAGGCTTTCAAGCACTTAGTGGCACACAATGCAACAACATGGTCATTCAAGACCTGCATATGTACTCTTGTCTCCTCTCTTGCCTCCTTCCTTGCCCTCTCCTCTTGTAACGCCCTCCGTCTCTCCAATCCCCATTTGTCAAGCCCAACATCGATCGGGTTACAAATACCGCGCTGTGTAGCAAACTCACGCATCTTATTTTTGTGATGTTTAACGAATAGGTTGACGTAGTCAGGTACATATCCCCTCTTCCATGCAATTACTTGCCTCCCCTTCAGTTCATCCAAGAACTTAGCTTGACCATCATAATATTCCCACCTGCATTTCCTAGTGCTCTGTTCAAATGAAAAATTATATCATATATGTCTTAGCAAAAGAAACAAAATACGATTGCATGTTTACCACAAAAATAACCAACATCATCATAGTCAACCATATGGCCGCAATAATGGGCTATTCCAAGCTCCGAAGGGACTAGACCGTAATTGGATTTAACACCACATTCGCACTTAACTGGAGGTGCTTTGTAAATTAACCTTTCTTTCTTCTTTTCCTTTGCCTTTGGTGGCTCCGGCCATTGATTCTTAGGACTGTAGAACCACTCATTGAAATGACACTTCACAAATCCATAACGCTACAAGAGAATACATTAGTACACACACACATATAGAGATAAATATTTAAACATATACACTTTCCACTTACTTCGTGTTTGTTCGGACACACAAACTCCAACGTATTCTCAGGGTTTATCACAGCTCAATCTCCGTCATTCGCACAGAGGAGGTTCCTCGAGTCATCTAACTGTGGCTAGTGCTTCTCCTTAGCCGTTATTGGCGGAGGGTTAGGGGGTGGAACCCACCGTTGGAAGTGCTCACGTGGATGTCTCCCTCTACACCAATCGGGGAAAAGGAGGTATCTAGGGTCAAATTTGTCTGCACCGTCGATCCACTGAAAGAAAAAGCACCTCTCATGGGCCTACACAATAAGATTCCAACAAAATATTAGTAGCCTACTTACACAAATGAAGAAAAAAAGATAGTGGAAATAATTACTTACATTAAAACGACTGCATGTGTAGAAGTAACGCGGCGCTGTGTCTGGATGTCTCGATTGAAACACGTCGGCCGGAAAACCACAGTCATAGTTAGGGACAGGGAGGTCAGATGGGACGGGGGCATCTTTGCAAGACGCATCGGGGGTATAATTCTCGAGGACGACCCCGTTTTTACCAAAACTTCTTCCGATACATTTCTTGCATCTAACAAAACGGTTGTAATTTAATAAACAAAAATCAAAACATCACAAATTAATGTCAATGAGAACCATTTGTATTACAACAAATAAAATATAACCTACACTTTGGTGCAAACTCTATCTCAGATGCAAACATAAAAACTATACTTTGATCAATAAAAAATAAAATTTAGTACATCAACAGTGTGTCCATATATTTATTCACATATAAAAGTTGAGATGCAAACTCAAACAAGCAAAATTCTTATAAAAATTGACCTTAGAATACATGGTAATTATAATTCTAACTAACCAATTAACTTTAACATTGGCGGTCCTAATCCTTCGATCCAACGTTCTAACGAACTCATATTTTTCTCCATACCCTAACTACTCATTCAAATCCTTCGATCCACCGTTCAGGCCGAGGAGGAGCTTCATTACCTTAACAAGGCCGAGGAGGAGCTTCGGGGAAGGTAGGGAGGGGGCCGGCAAGGGAGGGTGCGACCAGCGGCTGTCGGCGGCGGGCGCGGGCGTCTGGCGGCGACGGGCGCGTGAAATGGAAAGAAAGGAATGGAGAGAGAGACGCATCGCCGGCCTTTACTGGGGCCTGCCGCGCCATGCGCGATGGCGCGTCAGTGCCGTGCCGTGATATGTGGCGCGGCAGAGCTGGGCCACGTCACTGGTCGCTGCCACGGTGGTAGCCTGGCCGCACCGCCATGCATAGTGCGGTAGAGTGGTTTGACCGCGCCATGTCAGTTGACGCGTCGAAAAGTGTTAGTTTAAAAAAAAACAAACAATTTCAGTTTTAAAAATAATTTTAAAAAGTGTTAAAAATAAAAAAAAATCCGCACGTAAATGGTGCTCGAAGTTGAAACATGAGAACGTGCATTGCACGGATTTTCAATAAAAGAAGAGGGAACATGACCAAGCGTCTAAAAATACAGAGCCCGGCCAAACAAACAGTGGCAGCACCCAGAAAGGAGAAAGAGGGCTGCCACAGAAGCTAGCCCAATCAGTCATCCTTTGTTTACCAGTTATTAGGCTATTTGGACCGTGTTTAAACGAAGTTAAATAGTCTTGTATAATATCATTGTTAAATATATATATTTACGAATGCAAAATTTAAATATTCAAGAAAGTATAAATTTAGATGCAAACTTAAGGGTTAATTTAGATCAAAAAGTGGTTAATTTAGATCAAACTTAAGGATTATCTTTTGTAATGGCAAAAAATGGTTAATTTAGATCAAAATTTAAGAGTTTAAATTATTTTTCACAATGACAAAGGTGTAACTTAGTTACAAATTTTAGGGGTTATCTTAAATTATCTTTTATGATGGAAGATTTAGGTAATTTAGATACAAATTTATGGGTTACCTTGTGTAGTTTTTATAATGTTTCATCTGTTTTTCAGATGTATATTGCAAGTGTGCTTATCTCAACGTTGCATATGTTCTACACATATATTGTAAGTGTTTTATCTAGATGTTGCGTATGCTTGAATGCTTTTTCAAGTGTTTTCCGGTGTTTTTGCATGTGTTGCAGATACATGTTTCAAGTGTTTCATCTGTCTTCTTTTACATGTTGCAAGTGTTGCATCTGGATGTTTGAAAAGTAGATTGGGTGTTGCACATGCGATGTGCGTGGGAAGCGGAAGGGGCGCGAGCGGTCCTCGTGCGTGGTCTGACGGCGCCGGCGATGTCGGGGGCGGCGCTGGCCAGGGGCACTAGCTCGCTCGCTGCGTGGGCTCGCACCGTCCGACGCTAGTGCCCCGGATCGGACGTCCGGGCGCTATAGCAAGTCCCAAAATTAAATTGCCTCTTTAAAAACCTCAATTATAATCCATTTACAACTCTACAATGTATATAAGAAGACTCTGTGGTATACATTACGTGTACAAAGCCGATGTGTGTATATGGATGTATGCACGTATGGTGGTGCATGAGCTTGATTCCAGCAATGTCATTGCCGGCTATCATGAAGTCTCTGCAAAAGCGCATGCAATGCAGTCTCACGTGCTCCGGCTGCCGCAGCCTTGGCGGGCTCAATGCCGCCGCTACTGTTACCACCATCTCCGGCGGTGTCAGCGGCGCCGCTCCGGAGAGCTGGTGGCTCAGCACCTCCCGCCATGATCGTCGACAGGGCGGCCGCCAGGGCCGTGGTGAAGTTGGGGTCGCTGGTGATCGCGGCGGTCATGGTCTCCAGCGCCGACCGGTTCCTGCCGTCCAAACCCAACAGCGTCGCCGCCGGCCTGTGCCCAGCGGCAGCAGGGAAGCCGTACATCGTGAACGGCGGCATGGCGGGGACGGGTGACAGCTGACGGTAGTGCTGGAGCAGGCCCGCGGCCGCCGCCGCCGCCGCCCCCGGCGGCGGCGAGTGCGTGAGGTCGAGGGTGATGGTCGGGAACGGCGCGGAGGCGGAGAGCGTGGCGCCGCCCATGGCGGACGCGTAGGGGTGGTGGTACTGGAAGAGCGGCGCCGGGGCCGCGACGTGGTGTCCGGCGAAGAGAGCGCCCGCGTCGTGGCTGACGGCCGGGCCCGACAGGAGCATGGCCGCCGCGGCGGAGGTCGTCTTGGCCATCGCCGCCGCATCCGGCGGCAGCTGGTGGTTGTGCGTGCCCTCGTACGTGGTGATCAGCACCGCCTTGTCCTCCGCGCACCGTTGCACCTGCACATACATATATGCATCGCACGCACACGTGTGTGCCCATTAGTTACTGATGACGTATGCTCATTTCTTGCATGCATGCAGATATGATGCAGGCATCTAGCTCATCTCTAAGGGCCTGTACAACGCTATTACGTGGCAGGCGCTTAAAGGAAGTTAAGTTCGTTTTTCTGCCAGGCTGGAACTTGGCCCGAGCGCTCGCGAACGCATCGGCGCTCGACAAGGCAGCGACGCTCGTCGGACGCTTGCACCCGGCCACAAGCGCCGATGCTCCAGGCTTGCCTCAAAAGTGCTGAAGGATTTCTACTCTATCCATACTACGTTCCGCGTTGAGGCAGATGAGCGCCAAAATGATTGTATGTTCTCTCTCTTTAAGAGTCTATCTAAGCAGCTTTGCATTGCCCATGCCCTAATACGCCTGCATGTGTATGTAAAAGCCAAACACGTAGCAGCATTTTATTAATGAAAGTTGTTAAAGGCAAACAGGTAGCAAGTTTGAGCAAAATATTTTAGAGGGATGGTCCTCCGCGTCCGTCTGGTGAGAGGTCACAATCTATAAACAGTTTGATCTTGTATTTGAAAATGTTCATTTGGGGACAGGTAATAAGGCTAGAGAGAGAGAGAGAGAGAGAGAGAGAGAGAGAGAGAGAGAGAGAGAGAGCTTGGTAGGTTCAAATCAATAACGTATGCAAGTGTGCAGCCTGCAACGCTGGCATATAATATGTTCACATTTAAATGTCATATCTCTATCATATATAGGATAATGTCGTCAGAGTTGCATGCAAAGGTATATTCAAATGTACTTGCAGCTGGTTTGTTGGGTGCGTGTGCGTTTTCAAGTGCCATATTTGACACGTATATCCAAACATTGAAATGCAAAGAAAGTACTACATGTGTTTGACTTGTGCTGCGGAGCACGCAACGTATCAGACCATGGCATATAATAATACATACACCATGCGATCATTTGCTTGTTTATTAGCTAAGTACATACATGCATGTTGCATTATACCTACAGTTCGTAGTAAGTAGTAGTCGCCCCAAATTTAATTCAAATCAAGTATTGCCTTTTGTTTGGCACATTTCCTTGACCAATAGCTAGGAAAAACCTGTCCTTGTGTGATGGATCAGTCCTTGAATATAAGCTAACGGAAGAATGCAAAAAAAAAAGGAAGAATGCACACAGTATCGTAACAATTCTGTCTTTGTTCTAAATTGCAAGTGGTTTTCGTTTTTTATATACATAATTTTAAACATGTATCCAGATATAATGTATATATCTAGATGTGTAAGAAATGTTATGTGTCTATAAAAGCTAGAAAAAACTTACAATTTGAAAACGAGAGAGCATTTACGAAGTAGCAACCGTACGTAATATGCATAGATAGATAATAGATTGTTAGTGTAGTATATACCTGCTTCCTGACTGGGCATCCTGTGGCCATTGTGCAGCGGTAGTAAGCTCTGGGCCATGGGTTACCCTTGGCCATCTTCTGTCCATACTTCCTCCATTGGCATCCATCTCTGATCTACACACATATGTGTACATAGCCCCAAACAAGATTCGTTAAAATTTTGAGGAATGAAACCAGCACAAATATATTTGTGGATTTTGTACTTTTGAATCCACTCATATGTATTATATTCTTGCTATTTGCTGACAGCAGCAACATATATAAATCTGTATCTGCATTCTTACATACCATTGAGGCCTCGGACCGTGCGCGCACGGACACCCTTGCCCTCCGCAAAGGCGCCTCCGCCGCCGGCGCCAGCGCCCGCTCGGCGTTCTCTCCGCGCCCAGGCGTCCTCATCCCATCGTTTTGATCCGCTTCACCGCCGCTGCCGCTGCCACCGTCTGAATCCGCCTTGTCACCGCTGAACGCCGGCGGGGCCACCGCCGCCGCTCCTGCTATCGCCGGAGCCACCCGGCCGTGGTCCATGAATTGCACTCCGGTCATTTCCGCCGGTAGCATCGGGTTCGCTGCGCCTCTGCTGGCCTGCATCAAACATCGATCAATTGATCTCCATGGTATACTTGTCATGAACTACTCTTGCTCATTGCTTGGAATACAGCAGCACGTAGTAGAGAAGAGTTTGTTACTCCCTCTGTCCCAAAGCATAGGTCATTCTCATTTTTCGAGAAATCAACTTCTTTTTAACTTGATCAATTATATATAAAAGAATATTAATATTTTATAATATATAAATAGTATCGTTAAATAGATCGTTGGATATATTTTTCATAACAAACTTATTTGGATATATAAATGTTGCACGTATTTTTTTTTAAATGTAGTCAAAGTTAAGAAAGTTTGACCTACACGCATCATATAACGACCTTCTTTCTGGGGCGGAGGGATTATAAGAGAGTAGAGAAAATGGTGCGCGTATATATGAAAGCACCTAGATACCGGATCGAAAATGCATGGGGCACAGTGTAATGACCCCCAATATATGTAATGTTGACATGAACGAACATTCCAACTACCGTTAGTAAGTGAGGCTTTGCTGTCAAGCTTAGTTTGTGTTTGCACGCCCAAGCTGCTTTGGATGGCGAGATCTACATATACATTTACTATTTTATCTTATATATCTATGCATATACCTAATATTAAAAAGCAAAATGATTCTTTCTTTGCGTTTTTTTACTTCCCAAAATACCCACGCTCTCCATATCATGTATATGTGATCTAAATTTAAGATCCGTGCTCATACGAGTTAGAGCAATTGGCGTCCAACGGTGGTGTACGGAGTACGACACTCCCAAGACATTAAGTTTTGTTACCACGCACAGACACATTTTTCTTGCTGTAGTACGTGTGTATGTGTAGTAGGTCTGTGAGGGGTGCACATATGGATGGAGCTGAGACACCTCCCTCTAATCCAAATTATCAATGCAAATGCATGGGTGATCGACATAGATTTGATTAGCCACCTAAAATCAGGTTTCCAATTTTTTCTCGGGGATGTTAATGCTTATTAATAGTTGAGCAGAAGAATCTCAATAGAAAGGAACTTGCATTTCAATTCAATACGGTAAACACTGTAGCTAGTGGTCACGGAAGTTAAATGAGGTGCCCTTCTGAACCACTGTAGAGAAATTAGCAGCATAGTTTTTTTTTAGTCTAGCAGAGGTCGGCGTCGTGCGATGGACGTGGAATAGGCTAAGCGTTTCTACAGCTTTGTCTTGTTGTACCCACGGTCGCAAATTCTAGTACCGTATAGTCTTTTGAATGTGTTGTAGTTGCTAGGCTCTAGCTCTAGCGTGTCGATGTTCTTGGTTGGTCCCGATCGTTAGCGTCTTGCCAGTGGGTGCGGAACGGCCGGAACTCATCAATGTCGTGTAACTTTGTAACTTTCCTGTGTCTTAATGAAACACAGGTTACGACCTGTTCGCAAAAAAAAAAGCAGCATAGTTGTTTGTTCACATATGATTTGGGAAATGCTGGGCAATGGGTCTAAATTATTGAGGAAATGCTAGCTGTTACAATGCATAATTTCTACAATCTCATCAATCATTAATTGGTCTAAACATCGCTATATAAATTTCTTGGGTACACACATATATAAAATTATTGGTTGAATATATATTATAACATGATCTAAATTGAGGAATCAAATGGATCCATAAAAGAAAATATGAGTCAAATAGCTAGGTAGGGTGTCAGACTGCAATTAATAATTAGTATATTTATATATATATTTCTATATATACTATATATGCGCGGGTTTGTAGGAACGATCGGTTTTATTTTGTGTGGATGTGAAGTAAATAAAGTATCAGTAGTCTCGCTTTGCTGGCTGCTCCATTCACGAGGTAGGATAGGAGTTTTTTTTTTCTCTTTGTTTCTTTGATTATACATACTCCGTATAATAGTAACACAGAGATATTCAGGAGATCTTTAAATTATTATCTTTTTTATAACAAGACAAGTACAACGTTGACTAGGTAGGCTCCAATTAAGACGTACGCGTAGCCATTTGTTTTCAACAAAGTTTGAACACGAATCAAGCCACCCAATTTCTAGCTAGTTTAGGTTTATCATACCTGTTGTTGCTGGTACTGCTGCTGCTGGGCCTGCTGGGCTTGGATGAGCTGATGGTAGAGCGCGCTGTAGCTGCGGGTGAGCTCCTCCAGCATCCGCCGCAGCCGCCGGTTCACCTCGCCGGCCTGCCGGAGCTCCCCCTCCACCGCCGCCGCATCCACCTGTTACTCCGTCGATCACATGCATGTGTAAGAGTATCGGATCAGTCACCATGAGTACGTGTGCTTCTGCCGCGCTATGATCAAGATCAATACACAAATTCTGATGTGGAAGGAGAAGAATGATGAACAGGGTCATACGAAACTCGCTAACCTCTTTATCACGACCACACGCCGTCCCATCGCCGCTGTCGACTGCTGCTGGCGTCGCCGCCGCCGCCCTGCAGGTCAGCAGGTCCAGTGCAGTCTGCGCCGGCATGAAACATGTATAGATTAAAGAACGTACACGCACAACAGCACAAAGGATCGATGATCAAGGCTCATATATTTTTTAAGATAGAGTAAGTATATATAATGGCTATATATCTTAATTGCAAGCACTGCACAGACATAATCGATCTCAATCAAGCTCGGGATCTCGATCTCGACGGGAGACTTACGTTGACCGTGGTGTTATGGCAACCGCGTGCCAGTGCTCCTGCGGCCTCATCTCGACCCCCATCGTCGTCGTCAGTCATGCGGCGAGCGGCGGCGGCGGCGGCGGAGAAGAAGTCCACCTCCTTGATCTCGCTCCTGCGCCCGCCGCCGCCGTGACCGAAAGCCGGCCGGTCCCCGTGCTCCGCCAAGACCATCATCATCTCCTCTTCCTGCTCCTCCTCTTGCTTCTCCTTGCTCTGCTGCTGCTTCGGCACCAAGTCCATGGATGGTCGGGTTGGAGCGAGAGGTATCAACCCAGGTAATTGTGAGGAATTGAAGAGACGGCTATATACAGCTCGTGGCGACCTGCAGTGCCGTACTAGCTAGAGACTAGAGAGAGAAAAAAAGGTGAGGAGAGAGAGAGATGTCCAAGTATGCAAGCTACTACTACAGTACAGTGAAGAAGCCGGAACCGTGAAACGGAAAGACTTGGACTTTGGACTTGTCCATAGGAACGAGACGGCTGGAGGAGTTGGACCAATGGCTGGCACGGGGACGAACAAGGTGGGCCAGCCCGCGTGGCGTCAGCGTAAGAGCTGGTTGAGGCTGGAGCGGAGGGGACGCCGCCCTGCCGACATGTCGCTGTGCTTGGGCCGGGTCAACCGAGTCAACGGAGATTTTTTTTATATTTTTAACACTTTTTTAAACTAATTTTAAATCTAACATTGTTTTTTTAAACTAACACTTTTGGCCGCGTCTATTGCCATGGCGTGGCGAAACGCCTGTGCCGTGCCATGCATGGTGACGCGACAGGAGGATGACGTGGCGACGACCGGGGCTGCTGACCGGTGACGTGGCAGGGTCTACCGCGCCACCGATCTTGGCGTGGCAGTGACGTGCCACGGCGCATGGCGCGGCAGGACCAGATAAATATCGTGAGCGAGCCCGCCCGCTCGCACGCACGCCAGCCCGCCCGCCCGCACGCCCGGCACGCCAGCCCGCCCGCCCGCACGTCGCGCAGCGCCATCACGCCTCGGTGAAAAGGGACTGCCGTTCTTCAAACTACTCAAGGCCTCTGAGCATTTCTCCTATTTGGAGGAGGCTGATATGGCTTTTGAGCAGCTCAAGTTGTTTTTAACGAAGCCTCCGATCATGACGGTGCCTCAACCAGATGAAACCCTATTGATCTACATCATCGCCACTTCTCATGTCGTTAGCACAGCCATTGTTGTCTAGCGTGAGGAAGTTGGACAAGCCTATAAGGTACAACGTCCGGTCTACTTCATCAGTGAGGTTCTTAACGAGTCCAAAACTCGTTACCCTCAGGTTCAGAAGCTGTTATACGACATTCTGGTCACGTCGCGCAAGCTCCACCATTACTTCGAGTACTACAAGATCACCATGGTCACCGAGTTCCCTCTAGGGGACATCCTCCACAACAAAGAGGCTAATGGCCGCATCATCAAGTGGGCTATTGAGCTCGACACTTATTCTATAGAATTCAGAAGCAGGCCTACCATTAAGTCACAGGCACTGGCTGACATCCTCGCTGAGTGGACCGAGATCCAAGAGCCCATCCCCGCTGCTTGCCCCGAGCACTAGGTGATGTATTTCGATGGCGCCCTCAACATCAATGGTGCCGGTGCCGACATTTTGTTCATCACTCCAACTAAGGACAAGCTCCGTTACGTCCTCCGAATTTATTTTCTAGCTTCCAACAACGCCGTGGAATATAAAGCATGTCTCCATAGACTTCGTATAGCCGTCGAGCTCGGCGTCAAACGCCTCATGGTATACGAAGATTCCACGCTGGTCATCAACCAAATCAACAAAGATTGGTCCTGCTCAGTGAGAAGATGGATGCATATTGTGCCGAGATCAGGAAACTTGAAGGGAAGTTCTACGGTATCGAGTACCACCACGTGGTATGAGACCAAAATTAGCTCACCGACCAAAATTAGACTCTTCTCATGCCGTGGTTCCACCTAGTGTCTTCGTTCAAGACCTCTTTATGTCGTCTATTAAGGAAGAGAAGGAGGTTCAAGATAGGTTCAAGATAGGAAGAGAAGGAGGTCCAAAATTAGCTCACCGACCACCTATCTAAGAAGTAGATTGGAGGGAACAGTTCATCAAGTATTTCACCAGCGCCGACGTACCCGCCGATAAGACTAAAACTGAATGCCTCATCCATCGCAGTAAGCATTACATGCTGGTAGAAGGGAACTTGATGAGGAAAAGTGCCAAGGAAGGGATACTACAGAAATGCATCACCCGAGAAGAGGGTGTAAAACTACTCAAAATTCACTCTGGCTCCTGCGGCAATCACGCGGCCTCCAGAAACCTAGTCGGCAAAGCTTTTTGAGCTGGTTTTTACTAGCCCATGACCATCGCCGACGCAGAAGACCTTGTCCGATGTTGTGAAGGATGTCAATTTTTCGCCAGGCAAATACACGTGCCGGCGCAGGAATTGCAGACCATCCCAGCTTCTTGGCCTTTAGCATGCTGGGGACTGGACATGATCGGGCCTTTCAAGCCTGCACCAGGCTATTTTCGGTTCATGTACGTCGCCATTGACAAGTTCTCCAAGTGGATCGAATACAAGCCGCTTGTTTCGGCTACTGCAAAGAAGGCAGTCGAGCTCTTTGAAGATATCATCCATAGATTCGGTCTCCCGAACAGCATTATCACCGACCTCAGAACTACATTCACTGGCCACCATTTTTGGGACTTCTACAAAGACCGATGTATCTCCATCAAATAGGTCTCTGTTGCCCATCCTAGAGCCAACGGCCAGGTCGAATGGGCGAACGGCATGATTCTCGATGCCCTCAAAAAGTGACTATACCAGAAAGAGGAAAATCATCCCGGCAGATGGCTCAAAGAGCTCCCAGTTGTGGTCTGGGGACTGCGCACTCAAGCTAGTCGCAACACCGGTGTATCTCCATATTTTTTGGTCTATGGCTCAGAGGCCGTACTTCCCACGGACATTGCCTTCTGAGATCCCAGAGTAGAGCATTATAATGAAGAGCAAGCCGCAGCTGTTTGGACAAAGGACATCGATAGAGCCAAAGAAGAACACCTGATCACTTGCATCCACACAGCCAAATGCCTAGAAGGCCTGCGTAGATACTACAATCGCAATATCAAAGGTCGTTCATTTGCAGTCGGCGACCTCGTTCTCCGCAGAAAGTAGAAAACCAAAGGGATGCACAAGCTCTCCTCCCCCTAGGAAGGGCCTTATGTTGTCAAAGAGGTTACCTGACCAGGGTCTTACTAGCTATGTGTATTGGAGGGAATTGATATCCCCAATTCATGGCACATCGAGCAACTTATACGTTTCTATCCTTGAAACACTCCAGATATGTACTCTCCACTCCATAATGAATGAAGTTTTTGTCACCATAATTTGTCTCCATTATTTTCTCCACTCCAGTTTAATCTCCATTTGCGATCATCGGCTCCAAGTTACTCCTTAACGAACTCCGACAACTATACGTGATCTCCATAAATGCTCCACCCTATTTCTCCATACTAAAATATCTCTAAGATATTTCGCCAACCATCGAGCAGCACACGTTCCGCTCTATGTTCTTTGAAGAAAACCCTATCTCCAATCTCTCCCTACACGTGCTACGGGCTCCAGTGCTCTGCGTTATGGATAGTCGGCTATGGTTCCTTGGTCACATATGTTCCTCCTACACGTGCACGGGCTCCAACACTCGGACGCTACTTATACCACGTATAAACGTGTTAGGGTTAACAATACGTCACTTTTTCACCGAAAGTACTAGCAAGCCGCATAAACATGCATACAACATCTACTTACAACATTTATACAAATACATAAATGTTAGTTTATGAACTCGCGCATTTAACTCTCCTCTCTAGTTGTTCAATATAGGTCCCTCTCCACTCAGGCTATTAGGCTTGGCCATCACCATCTACCTCGCCGAACAGATCAACATCGCCGGCTAGCTTCTTTGCTGTGTCCTCCACCTCATCCTTTAGCTGCTCCTGCTTCATCGCACCTGTCCCTCTAGCGAATTCAGCCCCTATCGCCTGAAGATTGATCGTAGGGTAGTGGGACCAGACCTCCGCTAGGGCATGCGTCACGATGGAGATAGCGGTGTCACGGTTGAAGCCTTTGAAGTTCTCCCACGCCGCCTTGCACCTGTCAATGATGGCGTCCAGACATGGCGGCCTATCGTTGGGCTGAGGAGCTACCTCCATGTCGATACAGTCGAGCACCGGCCTGACTTTGGCCACCACGGCGTCAAGTTTTCCCCTCTGGGTTCTTGCCTCTAGCTCTAGCACGACGAACTACGCGTTGGTTCTTCGACGATATTCTGCAAACACCAAAGGGATCCGTCAAACGAAGCAATTATATCTGCAACAACTCCGATCACAAACTACTCACCTTCTATATCCTCGGCTAGTTTCTCCGCTCGCCCAGATGCCTTCTCCTTCTCCTCTTGGAGTTGACCAATGACTTCTCGCAACCGGCTGAGCTCCGCATCTTGCTCTACAAACATAACGGTCGATAGTAACATCAAGACTGTTCAGCAATGCAGAGCAAATTCACCTATCCGCAGTACCTTTCTTCTGCTCAGAGACGCCTCTCAGCTGCTCAGAGGTGCGTCCTAGCTGCTCGGAGGTGCGCTCCAGCTGCTCGGAGATGGTCTTCCACTGCTCGAACAAGACGCCCTTTTGGTACTCCAGGTCCTTCACATTTGATTCAGCAAGATCCCTTTCAAGCTGGGCCCTCTTGATGTTCTTCTCCATAAGCTTCACCGCCTCCTTCAGCTTCTCATTCTCCACGGTGAGGGGCTCCATCCTCTTGATCAATTGCTGCCATTGTACAACAGTTCGTGCTATGCCCTGCAAAGCACCAAGATTGTAAAGGACCATATTCTCCAACGTCCAAGACGGACACTGTTGATGCAACACTAACCTCAATTTGCTTCATAGCCATGGAAAGGGTGGACCGTAGCCTCTTCACCTCCCTGGTGGTGTCCTCCTCCTCCACGACCACAACTTCATCGCCTTGCTTGCGGAGGATGCGGACGACTTGAGGTCGTGATTCTTCATGCTCAATCTCCTCGACTTCGTCTTCTTCCTCCATAGTTGGTGGTGCTCCCAAGGGGCTTGGTGGCCACACAAAGCGACCGACCATTCCCCGTGACATCTTCGGGCATGCCGCTCGCTCCTCCGATGCTGCTGGCCTCTGCGTCCCAGACTCTGACATGACGTCGGTAGCTCCCGCTCCCACCTCCAAAGATTTGGT